TACTAGGAGCTAGGGTTTGCTACCTCCTTATAAATAGAAGAGGAGGCCACGGTTTCATGGTGAAAGCGGCGAAAGTCGAGAGATAAAGAGTGAGCCATCGGTGAAATTTGAGCAAGGATGAGGGCCAAGGTCTGTTATCTCATTCCAAATCCTAAATAATGCATCTTCTTAACTCGACATTGCACGATTCTATTTCGTGAATCTAAAATGTTTTCGAATATATGTCGTGTTTGAATTCATGTTTTAGTTTAAATTTGCAATTTATATATGATAGTAATGTTCTGCATTTGTGTTGTTGTGATGGATTAAAGCGTCTATTGCTTTCGTTGATTCCGTTCTATACCTTAATGTTGAACAGGATACGTTTTACTTGTCCTACTTCTAACCCATCGTACTTTCCTTGAGCCACTTTTGAACTCACTATTTGATTCTGTGTCCCCCTGAAAGAAAACTCTATGATTTCTCTTTCTTTATAAGGCGGTCAAGGGAATCATGAATCTAATCCTACGCAGAGAGAATCATAACCTCACTTAGATACTATGTTTAGCATGCTAATATATAATAAGCAGGATTACGCCATCCTCACCAACTTCATGTCATGGAAAGAATATAACCAAATAACCTCATTAGCAAATTGAGAACGTTATAGGAAGCCCCATTAGTTAGAAACTTGGAATACTTGTGTCCTGCTGTGAGAAAATAATTGCTGAGACTGGTTTCTCCATCATGTGAAATCCCAGAGTTTCTCCATCAGTCCTCCCTTTGTTGTCTCACTTGCATCATTCAATGAGCTTTCTCACTCTTGTTTCACATGCCTAACCCTGTCAGTCAGCCTATATCTGCACCATTCCCAAGATTGCTCCCACATTGCCTTTTCTCAGATCTCTACCCTCCCAGCCATCTACATCATTTGCTCCTTCTAGCGCAAGGCAAGAGTGTTCAGAGAGAATGGTAGAAGGGTCCATAGGCGAAAAATTTCTATTCAAATGACATTATGGACAGTTGGAATGGTAGAAGGGCTTTTTCTAGTCCAACTGAACTGAGTATGATATGAGATGCACTTATCTTTTAATATGATGGTGTAGTAGATTGCAATTGGTGGAAGAACAAAATTAGACTGACTATTCAACTCAGTACTTTTTAATAAACTTTGTGTTTTAGTGACATTACCATGGCATATATATGGTTGGCGAGTGTTATCTTCTGTTTTCAGATTTCTTCTTGTTTTTTCGTAATGTTCACTCTAAATTCCCTTATGTGTGCGGGCTAGTGGTCAATGAAGCGGGAGTAAAAACATTAGGTGATTTCTTATTTGTCCAAGCCTTGGTGGATAATGGTAGTTGGTACCTGTCCTGGTGGGAGTGGGAGGTAGTAGTTACCTTGTGGAATTAGTTGAGGTGCGTAAGCTGCCTTGGTACCACGGTTATAAAAAAAAGTTCTTCTGTGTGGTGGACTATCTGTCATGAACATGTATTTGTTTAGACAGACTACTTTTTTTCCGTGCATAAACTAGAGTTTATTTGATGTGTGCTGTGCCTTTTGGGATCTTTTGTTGGGGTAAGAAACATTCTGAAGTCCTGGTTTTGCCATAAAGCAAGTATTTGATGGGCTTTATATGGGAAAAAAGGGAAAGAATGTACTTATTTAGTGTGAGGCCCTGGAATGAAGTAGAGAATGTATGGATTCAGAGTTGTATTGAGAATGTAGCCAAAGAGATTTAGAGGAAAGCTGAGACAATGGTTGTTTTTAAGCCTCTTCAGATAACAATTAAGTGTGCCTAACAATTAAGTGTGCCTAAAGGGAGTTTGCGAAGATTTTTGTTCTCTCTTATCACTGTAACTACGGCAGCCTCTAATGTTTCTTATTTAAATGCAGTGGAAGAAGAAGCGTATGAGGAGACTGAAGAGGAAGCGCAGAAAGATGAGACAGAGATCTAAGTAGAGCAGGGTTCTAGATGCCTAGGATGCTTTCTTGGGTGAATCTGCTGCCCTGTTCCTCTTGCTGTCTATCTCTCTGGCAGCTCCAGAGAATGGTGGTTGTCTGTTGTTTGGAGCTGCATTAATTAATCTACTATCTTCTATGAAGGAGCTTAGTTTAGTTCTTCTATTACTTGTAAGGATGTTGATTTGTGTTTTTGGGGCAACTTGCTAGTTTTGTCCACCTAAGATATATGGGAGATTATCCTGAACCTATTCTCTTTTAAGCTGACTTTCTTGAGAGGATTTCTGTTTGCCTGGATTGCATCTCGTTTGATTATAGTTTGACTGAATGTTATGCTTCGAGTGATGTTCTTGAGATGAATTGTCATCTGTCTCTGGTGCGAGTTGCTAGGGTTAAACATGAGCCGAAGCCTCAAGATGCATGGCTGAAGTGAAACACTGACAGGGACTGAGTCTAGCTCGTGCGTGCTTGGTGTTCAAGAATACGAAATCATGAAAAAGGTATAGAGGCTTGGGATCAAGTCTCCACGCAAAAAAAAAACTACTACTGAATACTGAATCATATAGTAGGTGATCATGAAAATAGTTAAAACCAGTGTACATACCACTTAAATGTACTTTCAACTGAAATAACTGTCCTTGCGTATTTACAAGAACAAGAAAGAAGGTTAGTAATGTTGAGTAGATCTTCCAAATGCCAAGATGAAAAGAAAAACTAAACAAATACATGTCGAATCATTATGCCGAGTTGTTGCAAGTTTTTAGCCGGAAATCAATGCATGCTCAAAGAGGATTACATGGTGGAAATGAATATGAAGACTGGAGAAAAGGTAAAGAAGGGGAAGTCCCATCCACAAGCTGGTGTTGATACCAACGGGAAGGTGAGAAGCGGCCAACTATGGTAAGAGACACATTAGGAGTGGTGATTTTGCGCAACACTCGAGGCAGTGTTTTTGCATTCAAAATCAGTAAGAAATCTAAGAGCAAAATTGGAGCTTTATGGGCGAGTTCGGGATTATATCACAACTCGTTTGATTTATTGGGTTTGAAATCCATTATATTACTTATTTGCTAAATCTATTAACACGTGTATAAGGTCTTACAAAGTGTCACGGGCGCGTTTTATGTTTCACAAAAACAGCTCGCGCGGCAGCCAAGCACCGACTTGACCTCAGCCTGCTCCAACACTCGGCCAAAATTTTAGCAACTTTGGACTTTGATTAATTTAGGCAGCGTTCAACGTGTAAGCTTAGAATGAACTTAGGCAACAAAAATATAAGTAAAGGGACATAATTTAAACATGAACAAAAGTCACAAGATTACAGGAACTCTTTCCCAACTTTGTATTTAACTCGAGAATACAAAGAAAACTCAAACTCCGAAGTACATCCGTGTACAAAAATGAAGATCACTCTTGACCCTCACAAGACTACTCTTAGCCTTAGGTTGTTTTCACTCTTGAAAACAGATTTAGGACTCTTCCTAACTCACTTGTGTGCTCTCACACGTTTTTCTCACATAAGCCACAAAGGGATGGGTGTTGTCCATTTATAGAACATGAATCAGCCCCATTTACACAATAGTTGCCCCATTTTAGGCATTAACACTTGCCCACTAAGCCCACTACTTTACTTTAGTGTAGTTGACACCCCCAACTACTAGGATCATGTAAATCATGCTAAAGATAATGAGATCATCGCCTCCAAAAACGTAGCTAACTCCTGCCAGCATTTTAGACAAACACAACTGCTGCCCGTATGCACAGCATGTGCCGGTAACCGCCATTGACTTGGTCAATTCCAATGTTGCTGCCCAATTTCGTGCCTTGGCTTGGACCAGCTCCAATGCCATTGTATTCCAGCTGCATTGTGCCTCAATTTGCCTTGCCATCGCCCACGAACTTGGCCCGTTTGCCGCAACTCATTGCCATGACAAATCTGCCCGCGCACTGCCTTCCCGTTGCACATTTGCTTGCCTTTGCCTATCCGTTTTTGCCTTGCCTTGGCATCACTGCCTCATGCCTTGATGCCTTTGCCATAATCAAGTGTCGCCCTTAGCCTGCAACTCATTGTCAAGCCCTTGCCAAGCTGCCTCGCATCCGTTCAAAGCCTTAGCCATCGCTTGCCCGTTTCCCTTTTTGACTTTGGTGCCACTCGTGCACCAGCTTTGCAACACTCTTGCTGCCTCATGACAACACTCTTGTTGTCAAGTCGAGCTCAATTGGCGGAGGTCTAACAAACCACCCACACTCTTTGAAACTCGACGTCCTCGTCGAGGTCAACTCAATGTATGAGTCCCAAGGGGTTGACAAGCAATGCCCCTTGACCTCCTCTCTCTTCGGCTACAATTGCATTGACACCAACAGTTTGTTTGTCACTTTTTGACGCCTCCAAAGCAGCCCTCTTCTCCGCGGCAGTCAAAGCATTTAACACTGCCTAAAGACTTGGGAGTCATTAGAATCCTTTTAACTTTCAAAGTCTAGTTTCATATTCATGATGAGTTGAACCGCCTAAAGACTTGGGAGTCATTTATTTCCTTTTGAAAGCACATAAAAATAAATTACATTTTTCAGACCATGTCATAAAAATAGTCACCAACATAGCGCCTGCAGAATTTACAGAAATATATGTTAAAAGTTTTCACATTTGTGACGTGACAGTAACTTGTAACCATGCTAGAGATTACACCTTGGCCAACATCAATTTTTTCATGCTCAACATTCTCCCCTTTTTTTAAGAATAAATAAAAAAATTAACCTCATCAAGAAAAGAATGGTTTTTTTTTTAGGATGTCATTTATTATCTAGGCTTGCCTCTTTCCTCATAGAAACTGCTAATTAAGAGACTGAGGAAGGCATTCAGCCCAAAGCCCTCTTACCAAAATGGAGGTACATTTGAAGTTGGAAGACCAAATTGGAACTGAACCATGATGCTGAACCTTAGAAAAATTAAGAATGACACTGTAGCAAAAAGAATTTCAGTGTTGCTACTATTTCTGTATAAAACTAAGTAGTACAATACAATTAAATGATTAATGATTACTTAGAGAATTACCTGCAATTGCCTTTTAAGTGACTTTTTTTACATTGTTAGTACATAGTAGAACTTATACTCTAATACAAAATAGTGAGAAAGCTTGAGATAAAGGAGATATTCAGCCATTTCTGTAACATTAATTCCAGTAACAAAGAGTACGCTTAAGGTAAAAATACAGTAATGAACATGTTCCATCTGACCTCTTTAAAGCCTACGATGAACCAACTATCGTATCCGAAACCAAGTATCTCAAGTGGTTATTAGTTGTATAAAGTTCTCCATCTGACCGGCAGCATGAGAATCTTCTTGTTGAATTTGGTGTATTAGCATTTGCCGATGAATAGATTGCCTTTATTAGTTTCTCATCCTGTGACCCAATATTGACCCATTGTTGTGAAATATTCACTGTACTAATATATCCTCAAGTTCGAGCTCATATTGCATAACAAGTCTTTCAACAGTATTTCTACTTATTACTTGTTTAAGATGCAATTCCTTGAGGACTATTGATGCAAGCTCCTTGTGTTCTTCATGTATGATCCCTTCCACTAGAATGGTATATGTTATCTCATTGGGCATATAACCTTTGCTGATCATGTCCTCAAATACCTTTAGCGACAAGTCTGTTCTTCTTGATTTGCATAGACCAAGCACAAGTGCATTGAAATTGTCAACATCAGGCCTATATCCATTTTCCTCCATTATGTAAAATACATCAACAGCAGCAACCAACATCTTCTCCAAGCACAATCCTCTGATCAACGATGAATAGGTGTAAGAGTCAGGATTGAATCCATGGGCTGTCATTTCATACAAAAGCTGAAACGCTGCAAATGTGTTTCCTTTCCTACACAAACCAGAAATCACGGCTCTGTAGAAATCATGAGTGGAGGAGCTCTGCTTAATCCTCAAAGCTTGCAGAATTGAAAATGCCTCGTGCACCACTCCTTCCTCGCAAAGCACTGCAATGGAATTGTATGTCCCTTCGTTAGGACTACAATGTCGTTCTAACATTTGGTCGAGACACTTAATTACTGCATCCACTTTCCTGTCTTTGCAGAGACGCGCAATTATAGGGTTATAGCTAGCAGCAATTGGCTTGAACTGTTCTCCAAAGTACATTTCGTCCAGAATCTTGAGGGCGTGATCTGTTTGACCGTGAAGAGCAAGGGAACTAATCAATATATTGTACGTTACTATTGATGGTGAACGTTCTTCTCCAACCATCTCCGCTAGAAGCTCATTTGCTTCCTCCCAACGTCCTTCAAAGCACAAGCTCCTCAACAAGATATTATAGCTAACAACATTAGGATTAAACCCTTTCGATGGCAAGTTTCTAAAGAACTCTTTTGCTTCATCTATTCTTCCTTCTTTACACAACCCAGTTAAGAGAACATTGTAACTAACCAAATTAGGCTTCCCACCCTTGGCAATAATATTGTCTAAAAGCAACATTGCTTCATTAACCCCTTTTTCTTTATAAGTAGCCTCAAGCAATATGGAGTAGGTATATGCATTTGGTACCAACCCCTTTTGCATCAATTTTTCCACAAATTGAAGGCTTTTGTTCAAGTTCCCTCGCATACAAAGTCCTCTTATAAGAGAATTGTAAGTGACAGTATTAGTAGGGTATCCATATTCTTCCATTTTATCAACCAATTGCATAGCATGACCAACATTTCCTCTCTTACACAAGTTATTTACCAAGAAAGTGTAAGAAGCAGCATCAGGTATAGTACCAGAGGTAACCATCATTTCCATAACTCTAGCAGCTTTTCTAAGTTTATTACAATTGCAAAGATCATACAACAGTTGAGTTGCATGAGTCTTATCAGGCTTGTGGCCTTTCCCAACCATGTATTCTAAATATAGAAAGGCATCATAAAGTCTAAGTTCTTTGTTTCTTGGGTCATTCTTGCCAGACCTCCAGTTGGGCAGAGTGAAAATATTATTTAGAGGTGGGCTTATTTGGGAAGAAGCAAAAATTCTTGAAATGGTCTTATTAGAGTGGAAAAAAGGAAGGAACTTTGGTATGTGGGTGAAGAATCCACAAGAATTTCTTGCATTCTCAGGTGATGGATTGGTCACTGTGGACACTGAATTTAACGGGACGGCCATGAAATCAAGAAAATGATTGAAGCCTAGTTTAGAAAATTGCACCAGAAAGGAACCATAATCAACAGTAAGGCAAGGAAACAGTAAAAAGAGACATACAATAGCTGTTTATAGAGAATCTACGCCATTCTTGATCAATGGAACAACGAGAGCTTTTCTTCTCCGTGCCTGTAATTGTGTACTAAATTCAGTTCCAAGAAAACTGTTTTTCTTTTTTCTTTTCTTGTTTGAAGTTAGTAAAAAGGAGTAGAGCTACATCTGTTGTGGGTCGAGTCTGTCCACTCCCTCCTAATGTTATCCAAAAAGATGGGTGTGGGACTAAAGTCGCTTTCTTTTTTCTCTTTGCGGGTTTTTTTATATATAATTTTTACTACTTCAAGAATCTAAAAACATCAGGAAAGCCCGGCCAAATTTTAAAAACACAACACCAAAAACTCATCAGACATAAAAAATAGAGTAGCAGAAATTGTACCTCAAAAGATGCATATCAGAAATAGATCCAAAATAACCAAAAAAAAAAAAAATACTGTAAAAGTTGCCCCGCTGAATATAAGTTCGTGTTTACTTTTTAATAAACTTAGAAGATTAAAATACTCAAGAATATATTTAAGAAATTATTTTACACTCTGTTCTAAACAAAAGGCACCATTTTTGTCATTTTCTCACTTGTTTCATATTATCTTCTACATTCAGTAAGATAATACTATATATTTTGAATTAATATTTAAACTTTGTATACATTCATTCAGATACTAATTAATCGTAAATAGTCATGAGACGGAAAAGAGTAATATATATGTTACTGTTATATATTTTTCCTCTTTTGAAAAATCTCATAATATAAAGCTAATAAAAGTTTGAGTCATTAGTGAGGTATGTGGGGTCGATTATTTCTCGCCAAAGAAGGATAATGTCATCAATTTGTTTAATATAACATTTTATTAATAGGTTAGTGTGAAGAGCTAAATGTAAAATAGCCTTTGTATTGCTCTGCATGCTGTTAGTAGTATTAGGCAGCAAGAAAGACAGTCCACGTCTTCACAAATAGATCACACTTGTCTCCCTTTCTTAGAGAAACATGCCACGCTCACCTCGCTGCAGTGCTTATATAACTAAACTGAGTGCATCATCACCAATCTTATACCTAAATAAAAATAGAGAAGCAATATATAATAAAATCATGGCAAAGAGCAAAGATGATATTACTCACGGGACAGCTCAAGCAAGACTAAGTGAAGATGATGCTTTGAGAATAAGGTATAAAGCAGGCACCCCTCTTGAAGGAGGAAAGATTGCTGAATCTCAACCTGTGGATCTCTTCTCTAGTGCTCGCAATATTCAGAATCAACAAGGCAGTAACATTGCTGATTCTCAAACTGTTGACCTCTTCTCAAGTGCACGCAATATTGCAGCAGTAAAACAAGCTGAAGAAGTTTCTGATCGGGGAAAGAGTACTACTGTCTATGACGACCATGATGATATGGATAAACATCAGCCACCAGCAGCTGCAACTCTCATGTTTGATAGTAAGACGGCTGATAATTTGACATCAAACCCTCCCTAAGTATCACCTTTTTAATTACGTTTCCTTTTCTACGTACTCTACTATGAATAATAGTATTATTGAACTTTTATTTAGCTGCTTCTCTCTCTTATTAGGAGATAATTAAACACGATGGATGCATTTGTTGAAGAACCTGATCAATACCTTACTATATATAACAATCTTTAATTATGTTTCGTTAAAAATCTTTAACGGATTCAATTTTTGAAGTGTTGAGAGGTGCACTAATTGTATACTTGAAGTGTTGAAAGGTGCACTAATTGTATACTTTGATACCATCGCAGAATCACTAACTCACACAAGTTATTAGTTGACATGTTAGTTGAATGTTGTTGTTTTCAATTTATCACGCACTGAAAGACCAAGGAATCAACACTGGGCATGACACAAATTTATAGCGTCATCTCGCTATTTTCCATGTAGCAGGAAATATTTTTCAATTTTTTTTTTCTAACAAAAGGAAAAACTTAATTTCATTTATGCAAGAGTTTCCTTTACAATTATTCCTGCTCTTACAGATAAAATACTTCTTTCAACAAACACTTGGATGTTTTCAATTTTTACCGCTCAAAATGAGCGTTCCAATATTATATACGCTATCACTAGAACCCTATTTTTATACTTATCATCAAAGATAATAATATTTTTCTACCCTATAATTTTTATCATGTTATTATCACGATTCATGCACCTATTTTTGAACACCAATCACAACCGAAACACGATAAAAAGAAAATAATAATCTTCATACAATAAGACAGAGAATTCCATGCCAAATGTACCAGAAGTGCAACTCGACTCCACAAGGAATCGACAATCAATGGAAAGAAAAAACAAGACAGCTCATCTCATTCTATCTCTTCGCCCGAGAACTGACTTATAAGCCAGTTACACTCATAAGTCGGCAGTTGAAATGTTCATAAACCAAAAGCTCAACAGTTCAACTCTATTCAACAGGGAGTCTAGTGCGCTCCATGAATGTTACACAGAATCCTCTCCCAGAAGATACTACTAGGCACAACATGACTAACCGAAGAAGCATTTGCTCAAGAGATAATTCGTACATCTATTCAGTATTGGCATTCCTGCTATCCTTGCAGGGCCATTAAGTTACCTGGTAAAAAGAATTAAAGTATCCAGACTAAACTCATGCTACCCCACTCAATCTGGGCATTTTTTCTTTAACTCAGACAGCTCTATGGAACGGCTGATTCGCTTCTTGGACCTGGTTATAAGTGGACTCCACCATTCACACCCTGGAGCTGCCATCTAGTAAGATATGTGCAGGAATGGCAGCTCTCTCAGCTACAATGGGTTAAATCCCAATGATGACAACGGCCTCGGTTACACCAGCGATTCTGCCTACTGGACTACAGGCGATCATTCAACTGCACTACTCCTCTTCTCCAATAATGATTCGAGAAATAGCGAACACAATTTAGTAAGAGGAGGAAGATTGTGAGATGGTCCACTAAATAGAGTCTCCCAATGCCTTTCTGATGGCACTGATGTGATTAGTGGAGCTTGTTTTTTCTCTAAGCTAAATTCTGGTAGGTCCCCGTAGATAGATGCATAACCAAACTTTCCTGCAGATAGGATGAGCGTATAGTTTCGTCAGTCATGACACTCATATTTCATGCGAGTCAAATGGGCGGTTGAATATGAGTTGACCCATATTTTCTTGAGAAGGAATTTTTTTTTTGAGGAGGTGTTAACCCATATATTTTCAAGTGCAATTTTTTAATTTTCAGATTATTTAGATATAAGCTTAACTGAAACAATATATACTCTTCATTATTAAATTTATTCAAATTTGACTATCATATTGTCAAAATTTATTCAAATTTGACTATCATATTGTCAATTTAAGTTACTCGTGCTTAATGCACTTCAAGCAATATCACTAATAATATGACTTTGTGAATTTCCCACTTTGTTCATATATTGTCTTCAATCCAATATAAAACTAAACAAATTGAACAAATAATAATAATAATATTACTAATAATAATATAAGGAAAAAGAGCAAAAATCTGAATTCTTAAATATAATCTTGAGTACCTTGTATTTAAAGTCATGTAGTACAAGGGAGAAAAAAAAAATTCTCTTTCTTAACATGTACTCTTGAAAAACAAATGGGAAAACTATACAAATTTGCTTCTGGTTTGTAAACTATTTTTGGTATCTAAGTATGCAGCCAGAAAGAACAAGATCAACAACAGCCCAGTTAAATCCCACCAGAAAGAACAAGATATTTTCTGCAAAAACTTCTAAAGAATACTAAACAATACTAACAATGCTTAGTAGAAAAAAAATACTCACATAGTCAACTATCAACTATACTAAGAAGAAACATACGAAGGAAGAGGAGTTCAAAAATAATAGTATCAGGTATCTTAGTGAGCAAAAGCTGGAAGACAACCCATTAGGCTAACCCATATTTTAGCCATGAATACCCATATTTTTACGGGTTGAATATGGGTTGAAGCCCAAATTTTACCCAACTTAAATATCAGTCATCCAACCCATTAAAATATGGGCGGATTGGGCGGGTTGACAAAATATGGGCTCATTTTGCCAGCACTAATCACAAGACATCATGCAGTAATCATACATCTTTGCCTCAGGGCACTATCATTTTAAGGCTTGTGGTGCCCATTAAAGTTTCTAAGAACAGGGTTTATTTTCATATACTTTGGTATGAAGCACCTTGCCACACATAAAATAAACCCACAAAAGGCACCTCTATATCACCAGAGTAATAAAGGCCAGAAACTGAGATGCATAAAAGCTTTTGACATATTAGACATGAACTTAGGCAGACAAAATGGTACACACCTGTTTCCTCAAGATCAGTGAGACTTCCTCGGCTAATCTTATGTATGTGGGTGTGACTGTTGAGTGGATCAAAAAGAGCATATTCATGATCACTGTTTAGGTAAGCTAACAGCAACTGCACTGATTTGCCATCAGTAACACCACCCTCCGAATTAGGACTTCCGCGAATAAAAGCAAGTGAAGCACCTTTTGCCTATAAAGAGAAAGAATGAGACGCAAACAAAGTAAAGACATCCAGTTCTGAACCCATTTATAGATGGAATTTCCACCTTAGAAGAAAGACTAGAAGATGCATTATGTCGCCCAATGTCTGAACTAAATTAGAAAGGCAAGAAACAGTGTCAGAAAAATACACACAACACAACTGCAAATGGCGTCTTCTGAAGAGTGAAGGTGACAGCAAAATAGAAGAGACGCAAAAATTCAACAGAACGCAACAGAAAACATCTGTACACTAGGCGCAGGAAACACGAGAGAATGAAGACAGATAAAAACAAAGACAGGGAGAAGGTAATTATTTTCTCAACAGCCTTCACAAGATAAAGATTCACCACCACTAACATCAAGTTCCCAACTGAAAACTTCGAAAAACAGAAAAACAAACTCAAAATTGAGGAGAGGAATCATTACCTTTCTTACAAGCCAGATTGCTGCGGGAACAAGATCTCCAACATTGAATAATAGGATCACCCCATCTGTAGATCCAAATGACTTTGGACCAAGGGCCAGGATGGCAAATAAAGAATCATCGATCGCACAAGTTACAGCTGCAGCAATCAGTAAGTACTAGTTGGATGAGACATTGACAAATGAATTACGGTAATGTCTGACACATTACATAACAATATAAAGGATTGTGCAAACAGAACTCCCTGCCAACAAGTTTATCATTAATTGCTAGACTTCTTCAGACCTTTTAGTTTTGAGTACACAATAGGCGCAAAGTTTGGAAACCTTAGCTTATTTTCTGAGTCTCTTTTGGTCATTTCCCGATTTCTTATTCCAAAGCAGCAAATTAAATTTTGGTACTGATTTCATTAGCAAGAAATAGCTTAAAATTTCCCCAAAAGTCTGAGTTTGGCATTAAAAAAGAAATAGCGCACTAGATGTAGTCCAAACCATGCAACTCTAATATTTATCATAGAAGTGCAGTGAGATATGAGGAGAGCCTACAGCAAACAAAATCTCCCCCAGATGAATATGACCCCTTGACCTAGATATTAGTCATCAAAGTTTGGGACTTTGACCCCTCCACCATATATAAAGAATATGACAATTCATAATCTAATATGGGCTAGACTATAGAACTAACTAATCAGTACGTCCAGCAGCCCTTGGCTTCAGTTAACTTTTAGGAAGGTTATTAGATTCCATGTGCATAAGATTCAAATTCAAGAGCCAACCTAGTATATTTGGAAGTAAAAATTAACAAAACTTCAAAAATGTGGAAATATGATTGACGATTACATTTTGATGCGAGTGTTTTTAAAAGCAAAAATCTGAAGTGCACACTTCACAACATTTAAAAATATAAACATACATGATCACCTAACATAACTAATTTCAGTATTCACATACAATAGTGCCAATATTAATCCAATTCCTCAAGTTGAGATTCGAAGAACTGACCTCTTTTCCTTAGGATCATTTTGTGTGTAATTATTTAAGTGCACACTTCTAGGAAGAGCATGGCTCCACTTCTGAACCGATAATCCACTTCGCATTGTTTCAGCGCTTTAAGTGACGAAGCGGTGGCTTTTTATAACACTGTCTGAAGCCATTGTCTCCATCCTTAATTAAGTCTATTTTTCTCATGAACTAGAAGTAGAACCTTAGAAGTAAATGATAAGCCTCAAGATATTTGGAATGAAGTTTTAAAGAGGTGGTAAAATAAGCTTGCAAGATGGAATGCAAATTATGTATCTCTGGGAGGTAGATTGATATTATTAACTCAGTTTTTCCTACCTACGTGATGTCTTTATTTCCCTTACCAGCAAGTGTACAAAAGAGGCTAGAAGGCAAGGAAAGAAAGAGAAGAAAGCGATCCATTTAGTTAAATGGAAGACCCTTACTATTAGCAGCAAAAAGGGGGGTCGGAAGTCAGGAATCTAAGAAAGCATAACAAAAGCCTCTTACTAATTAAAAAAAAAGCCTCTTGATGAAGTGGTTGTGGAGGTTTCCAAAGGAGTAGCAAGCACTATGGGCAATGTGACTAGGGTAAAATATGGAAAGGTAAATTTTT